CAAGGGCATGTACCTTGGTTGCGGGCACATCCCCAGTAGGGGGTGTGCAGGAGGCAGCTGATGGATGTTTCTCTCTCATCGATGTTTCTAACTCTCTATCCCTCTCCCTTCCTCTCTGTAAAAAAATCTATAAAATACATTAAAAAAAAAAGAAGAGACAGGCTGGGGCAGAATTCAAGTGTCCTTGCTGACGGCTTGTTCTCTCCAAAGGGCCGATGCTACGGTTCCTGGTGTCTTTCAAATTCCATCTTGCCGTGCTGGCCCTGTGCCTCAGCGTGGGGAGGGGCTGAGTGCTCCCCACCCTGCAGCCCTCTCTTCTCTTCCCTGAGGCCTCGTCCAGAATCCCGCATCCTGGGCCCTAACGCAGAGGTGGGGCAGGTGGGTGGCCTTGGGGGTGGAGGGAGGGAGGTGTTTCTTGGGATTTTAAACCGAGGGTGCAGCTCCCGCTCGCCCTGACCAGTGAGGGGTGCCCACCATCTGTGCGAGGTGATGGAAAAGCCCAGAAGGGTCCCTGTCCTTTGATTTCTGTCGCGCTGCCTGATCTTCTACCATCACAAGTGCCCGCAAGGCCTGGCCCTGCTCCCCACTCGCCCATAAGACGTTCCTTTTTTTAAAAAAAATGCTGCCCTGACCGGTTTGGCTCAGTGGATGGAGCATCGGCCTGCGGACTGAAGGGTCCAAGGTTCGATTCCAGTCAAGGGCATGTACCTTGGTTGCGGGCACATCCCCAGTGGGGGGTGTGCAGGAGGCGGCTGATTGGTGTTTCTCTCTTATATATATATTATATGTTTTTACATTTATATATATATATATATATATATGTTTTTATTGATTTTTTTAGAGAGAGGAGGAGAGAAGATAGAAACATCAATGAGAGAGAAGCAGTAATCAGCTGCCTCGTGCACACCCCCTCCTGGAGATCTGGGGATCGAGCCCACAACCTGAGCGGATGCCCTGACCAGGAATTGAACCAGGAACCTTCCTGGTGCCTGAGGCGACGCTCAACCCACTGAGCCCCGCCGGCCGGGCTAGAGGCCTCCCTTTTACGATGACATCTCAGAGGGACCCTGCCTCATTTATAGAATAGGGGGTGGGTGGGGAGAGTCAACGCTTGCCCTGTCCTCCTTACGTGGTTGGAGGGAAGAGCTAACGAGCCATGCAGACTGTCCAGGGTTGTACCCGTCTAAGGGATCACTCTCCTTCAGCCGTCAGAAGCAGAGGCCACATTGTCAACGACTGCCCGTCAGGAATGCATCAGCTTGAGCCCTGGCTGGTGTGGCTCAGCGGATAGAGCATCGGCCTGTGGACTGAAGGATCCCAGGTTCGCTTCCCGGTCAGGGCACTTGCCCGGGTTTCGGGCTCCATCCCCAGTGGGGGACCCATCAGTGATTCTCTCTTATCATTGATGTTTCTATCTCTCCCTCTCCCTTCCCCTCTGAGATCAATAAAAATATATTTTTAAAAAAATAATGCATCAGCCTGAGACCACAGCACGTCCCTGTGGCCACATCTTCCAGGCCTTGAGGCTGCCACCTGGGCTGAAACCACCCCTGGGCTGGCCTCGGCCCCAATAGCTGGGTTCGCCCAGGTCCCCTACCCCTCGGGCATCCTGCCCCCATCCCCCCCACCACCACCACCTCTGGGCTCTCTCGGGCCCTTTAGGCTGGCGGATGTGAGTAGTGCTGGACACCTCCCTTGCTCTGGGCCCTGATAGAGGTGGGTCGAGAGGAGGAGGGGCCCACGGTGGCATCTCCATCTGTGTGGGGTGCCTGCCCACACACTCAGGGGCGGTTAGATAACCCTCCACACCCCGTCCCTCCCCACTTCACATTCCAGCCTCTTTCTGCACGGCCTCGGCTGCCCTCCACGCCCACTTCCTGCCGAAGGCAGCAGAGATTGGGTTCCCGCTGCCCTCTCCCAGCCTAATCCTGCCCGTTTCTCACCTGTCTCCTTTGTCTCCTTTCTCGCCCTAATCCCTCTCATGGGATGTGCCCCAACTACTTCTGGGGACCTCAGAGGCTGGGCAGGTAGAGCCAGGGGGAGGGTTTGGGGGTCCTTTCAGCAGCTGTGGCCTTTCAGAGACACCCCTACAAAGTGCTTTTCCTGGCTCATAGGTTGACGCTCAACCACTGAGCCTCACTTTTTGCCTCTTATTCATCTTTATCCCTACAGCTTCATCTTCCACTTATCATCTCAATACTCTGCTGACCAATTAGTAGCTCTACACTCATATATATGTTTCTCCCTCTCTCGGACCTTCCACTTCTTCGACCATCTGACCGTCTGACTCTGGACCCATAGCCAAGCCCTGCCTTCCCTGGGAGAGCTCACCCTTGTGCCTGATACCTAGTGCTCAATAAAGGGTCTAAAGCAAGCATGTCAAACTCAAAGGCTAACACGGGCCAAATAAATGAGGCATGAGGTCCACGGGCCACGAGTTTGACATGCTTGGTCTAAATCATGGTGGTGGGGCCTCCAGGCTGCAGGGTGTCTGGAGGCCGCGGAATTAATCTCCCTCCCCCGAAGCAAAGCCCCTGGCAGAGGAGAACCCCCACCCCCACCCATGGGACACATCTTCTCAAGTAAGTCCCCAGGTTGTGTTTAGCTCCTCTTTGCCAAGCTCTCAGGGGGCCATGGCGACAACCAGGACATAAGCAAACAGCTGCAGGAGGTAGACAGGGCCGCCCACGCCACACCCTGGAACCGCTCTTTCCGGGAGGTCACTGATCGATGTTTCTGTGGAAACATAACCTTTTCTGTTCTCTTGTGCACACCCTGAAGAGCGGCCTTGCTGGATCGTACGGTCACTCTATGCGTATCCTTTTGAGGAGCAGCCCAACTGTTTCCCAGAGCGGCCGCGCCATGTTACACCCCCGCCCGCTAGCAATGGGCGAGGGTTCTGATTTCTTCACTCCCTCACCTACATTTATTGTCTGTTTTCTTTTTAAAATAAGTCTTTATTGATTTCAGAGAGGAAGGGAGAGGGAAAGAGAGATAGAAGCATCAATTGATGAGAGAGAATCATGGATTGGCTGCCTCCTGCACATCCCCCACTGGGGATCAAGCCCGCAACCTGGGCATGTGCCCTGACCGGGAATCGAACCTGGGACCCTTCCGTCTGCAGGCCGACGCTCTATCCACTGAGCCACACCAGCCAGGACTTGTCTGTTTTCTTGACAGGTGAGGCCAGGTATTTCCCAACACCTCATCCTATAAGTGCCGCGCGCTAACCGATTGCACCACTGGAGCTCCATCAACACCTCATCTTGAGTAAGAGTTTTGACCTGCGGCCTCTTGCCAAGATCTTGCCATTCTTTCCTGACAAACAGACTCTGTTGCATAACCTGCATCATAACAGGGTTGCATTAGCAACTAAGCGTCCCCAGTCGCTCAAAAGTAACACACATCAGTCAGCTGTCACCCACGTGTCACCCAAGAGCCCTCCTGGCTCTCCTCCAGCCTCAGACCCCACAGCCTCCCCCACCCCATTCCTGTCTGGGAGGCCCCCCTCCCCCCACACACACACATGCTTCAGCTCTCCCTTCAGGGGTCCCTCCCGTGGGCAAAGCACATCCGATCCCCCATCGGGTTTCTTTGCTGGATGCTCCCCCAGAATTTGGCTCCTGCCCCTCCCAGTGCACCCGTGATGACATGCTCACTTGGTGATGGATCATCAGTCACTTCTGCCTCTTCTAACACAGGCACCCTTCCTGCCAGTGGGGTCCGGCCAGCCCAGTAGCCTGGTGCGCCCGGGGCCTGCAGTGCCTGGCGCTGGACGGACGCTCCATAAACATTGATGAATAAATGGATGAACAAGGAAACAAACCTGGGCCAGCCAGTGCCTCTCAGAGCTATTTCCTTTTTTGAAAAAATATATCTTTATTGATTTCAGAGAGGACGGGAGAAGGAGAGAGAGAGAGAGACATCAATGATGAGAGAGAGTCATGGATCGGCTGCCTCCTGCATACCCCACACTGGGGATCAAGCCCGCAACCCAGGCCTGTGCCCTGACCGGGAATCGAACCGTGAACTCCTGGTTTATAGGTCGATGCTCAACCACTGAGCCACCGCGGCCGGGCTAAACCCCTTGATTTTAGGCAGGGGATTGTGAAGGTGGAAGTCACCTATTGTGAGCCTCCGTCATAGCAACAGGTGGGCCCAGCAAAACCTGGCAAAGGGTCCCCCCAACCCCGGTCACGGGGCCCTCTCTAGCCTGCCAAGGGCAGTGGGAATGGCTCTGGGATGCCCTAGGGCCCCGGGGTTCTCCAGATGTGGCTGCATCTGGGAGGCTGCTCAGAGGGTAACCGCGTCGGGCCACCAGGTGGTGGCAAAGCCCGCTGTGAGATGGGGGAGCAGCCCTGGAACACCATGTCCCGTGGTTTCTGCCTGACCCCAGCCCCGGGCCATCTCCCCGACGCAGGCACAGCAGTCTCTCTTCTTACCAAACCACGCACACTCCCTGGCAGACGAGGAGTGCCTCACGCACGGGCGCTGGCCTTTTGCTTCATTTAGCTGGTCTGCTCCTCGTGGCGTCGGAGCTCCTGTGCAGACTCTCAAGCCTCCAGCTGGCCCTGCCCGTCCCCCTGAGCCGTTCCCGGCAGAGAACGCGGCCTCCCTGCTCTTAGGGCCTGAAGCTGTGCTCCCTGCGAGGCCTGGGGCTCAGGCCGCCAAGCCCGGGCGCCAGGTGTGGGGGGTCCTGGGACAGGTGGGCGTTGTCAGGAGGGACTCGGGGCAGCTCTGCAGGCGGAATCCTTCCTCAGTGGATGCTGGTTTATCCCCAGCCTTTGCAGACAGGTAATCAGATGCCCGTCGGGATCCTCAGGGTGGTCTACGCGCTGGGTGTCCCCCTCCTGCTTGAGCCCTGGGCCAGGTGTGCCAGGAGGAGCTGAGATGGTGATGGGAGGTGAGTGCCCTCTGGGTCGCCTCCAGCAGCACCCTGCCTGGGGGGGGGGCAGGGGACAGGGAGCGGGGTGCAGAGGGGGATGGAGAACCCAGGCGCAGAGGCAGCAGGGTCTTCATTGTGCCGGGGATGGTTTTGTCGCCTCGAGACCCTGGATTTTCTCCTGGGAGGCCCTGTCGGGGAGCAGCACCTCCACGGTGTAGCTGACCTTCTTGGTGTGAATCAGGCTGTAGGTGTTGTCGAAGCGCAGGACGTCTGCCAGGACGGAGAGGGAAGCCATCAGGCAGCTCTACCCGACCCCTCTGCAGACCCGGTGCCCTGGGGGACTGGCCGCCCAGGACTATGGATGGGGCTGGAGGGTCAGCCACTGCCCAGCCCCCAGCCCATGGCTCCCAGCCATCCATCGCTTTGGATGAGGCTTGTGCTCATTAAAGAATTAGGAATAGCCTGGCTGGCATGGCTCAGTGGTGGAGTGGCGACCTCTGAACCAGAAGGTCATGGTTCGATTCCCGGTCAGGGCACATGCCCAGGTTGCAGGCTCGATCCCCAGTAGGGGGCATGCAAGAGGCAGCCGATCAACGATTCTCTCTCATTCACTGATGTTTCCATCTCTCTCTCCCTCTCCTTTCCTCCCTGAAATATTTATTTTATTTTAAATATATTTTATTGATTTTTTACAGAGAGGAAGGGAGAGGGATAGAGAGTTAGAAACATCGATGAGAGAGAAACTTTCGGCGACCCTGTGACTTTCAGCATAGTAATCCATGTAATATTTATCAATCAAAAAGAGTTCACTGGTATGTCAGATTCTTCACACTCTGACCAAATAGTTTCACCCAAAGTCCAGATATGATATTATGCTATTACTATTCTTTTAAATTAAGAGAGAAAAAAATAAAAGAAAGGAAGAGTTCAATTCTCCCCTTTATGTTTCAGGCATATATTTGTCTTCCTCTGTAATTTGACTCCACTTTTCAGGCATACTACTTTTAAGTGGTTACAATTACGTTAGTTTGATTTAATATTTTAACCTCAGTTTTATTTATAAGATTCAGATAAGAATAGCCCCCATGTGACAGGGTTGCTGTGAAGAATAAATGAAATAAATTATGTATTAAAAGCTCAAAGTCTGGCTCATAGTAATTGCATTCTATCAGATACTCTTTTTAAAAATGTAAAATAACTCACGTTTAGCTTAATATATATAGTTGGATAGATAGAAAAATAAATATAGCAATATGAATACAATATAAATGTGTTAGTGTGCATTAAATATTACCTAGCGCTGCCCTCTGGAAGGTCTAGAAGAAATGACACCTCAAGAACACTGAGCACTTTCAGTGGATGGACTTGGTTTCTAAATATAATTTTGTGATAAAGGAACAAGAGATGTTAGAGAAATGGCTGATTGTAGACTTTGAGCAAGAAAAATACAAGATAAGCCTGAAACAGCAGGTAGTGCCAGGAAGTAACTTACAGGGGAAAGGCGTTAGAGACAGGAAAGGCAGTGTTAGGGAAAGGGGGTCCATGGGAGAGAAAGACATACATAATGGGCGGAGACAGCGCCAAGCCGCCAGATTGCTCATCTTTCATTCACAGAGGACAGGGGAATGTGACAAGACAAGGGGAAGAGGAAGAGGGGAGCACTGGGTAAGCTTTTTTTTTTTAAATATATTTTATTGATTTTTTACAGAGAGGAAGGGAGAGGGATAGAGAGTTAGAAACATCGATGAGAGAGAAACATCGATCAGCTGCCTCCTGCACACCTACTGGGGATGTGCCTGCAACCAAGGTACATGCCCTTGACCGGAATCGAACCTGGGACCCTTCAGTCCGCAGGCCGACGCTCTATCCACTGAGCCAAACCGGTTAGGGCTGAAATATTTTTTTTTAAAAAGGCAGAGAGAGAGAGAAGCCAGACTGGCCACCCATGTCAGCCCATCCCTTCGCCAGGAGGAAGCAAACGGCCCTGGTGGACCCTACGGCTCTTACAGACTCCGGCCTGGAGGCAGGTGAGGCTCCCGTCCTCGGGAACCAGGTGGGCGTTGTAGCGCTCGCTGGGCAGCACCTCCGTCATCTCCCCCACCCGCTGCCGCTCCCCCTTCTTGGTCTTCAGGAAAACTCCGAAGCCGATGTCCGCCCCCTCCGATTCAAACTGCCACCTGCAGGGGACAGGGCGCCGCTGATGGCCACCTGAGGCCCGGGCTCCAGGCTCCTCCCAGCTGTGCCCAGGTGTCAGTGGCCACCGTCCGTCCCTACCTGAGCACACAGCCCGGGAACAGAATCTCAAACTCCACCTGCAGGGAGGAGCCGCGGCCCACGGTCGCCGTGTGCTCATACTGCACCCTCACCTGGTTGTGCAGGTAGTAGCTCTTGGGCACTTGGCCTCCGTAGTTGATCTGTGGGTGAGGGTGGGTGAGTGGCATCACCACCCTCACTCCCCATCCCCTGGGCACCCCCATACCTTGGTCAGGCACTTGGGGTTGCCATCGGGGTCGGTCAAGGTCCCCCCAAATTCCACAGGTAGCTGGTCGGGGCTGATGAACTTTGGCAGCTCTTGCTTCCAGTTGCCTGAGGGAGCAAGAGGGGGGCTTGACAGAAGGCAGAGGGGGCCAAGCCCTGGGAGGGACCCTGGTGTGCCCTTGGCTCGCTCCCCTGGGTGCCTACTCCTGAGAGCACCCGAGAGCGTGGCATGGCCACCCAGGCTGGCGTCCAGGCCCAAAGCCTCGTCTGAGTGTGCAAAGGCCAGTGGAGTCAGGCCGGGGTCAGTGCCTGGGTGAAGAGGATGGGCCAGAGAGAAATGGGGGCGTGAGCACTGACCTCTGCTCCCCGGGCAGACGGGGAGACGGGCACAGCCAGGAGGCCACGTCACTCACCTCCCAGAATCACTATCTTCCGTCGAGTCTCCTCACTCATGAACGACTTGACCAAGTTGAAGGCCACAGGGAACAGCTTGGGGGCTGAAACACAGGAAACTGCCTTGGGAAACTGACCCAGCGAGGACTTGGGATTAGATGTAAAGTCCCCCTCGAGGGCGTGGGCCGGACAGGAATTAGATCTAGATTCTGACTCTTTGTGCTGTGTGACCTTCAGCTAGTTACTCACCCTCTCTGAGCTTTAGTGCTATTAACTGTAACTACATAAAATGGAGATTCCACTTAACAGCGTGTGCATAACACTTGGCACCGTGCCTGGCTCGCGATACGTGGCTGGCTTCCCTGTTCAGCTGTAGGGCTTCAGGAGTGTTGATTCCCCAGTGGCCGCCTCTTCTTTTTCACACTCAAGGTTTTCCCAGGTTGCCTTGGACTCCTCTTGGGTGCAAGTAGGTGGGGCATCTGCCTTAGGCCTCACGTCCCATCTGCATCACTCACACTTACTAGGACCTTTCTGTGGGTCAGGCTCTGTACTTATGCCTTCTCCACAGACTGTCTCACTTCACCTCACAGCTGTCTCATGGGGAAGGTGCCATCGCATCCCCATTTTACAGAATGGGAAAACTGAGGCTCAAGAGGTTCCTCAGGCTTGCTCAAAGTCACAGAGCTAGCTAGATTGGAAGCCAAATCATCTGACCCAGAGCACATACGATGACACCCCCCCCCCCACTATGTGGCTGTCACAGACACGGACCATTCCCGCCCAAAGTGTGTCCACCGATCCGTGTGGCCCATAGACCATCTGTTACCAGTGCACACACCCAGATAAGTAAAGAAAATAACAGCAAACATTTAGAAACTTACGACGTATTTGACATTGCTGCACGGGCTTTTGTATATCCCCAAAATATCAGCCTGGGAAGCACTGAGCTAAAACACCCACACATCAAAAAAAACCAACAAACCAACAACAAAAAACACCCATTCTTCACAAAGGATGGTTTCAGAATCCCTGAACGTGGTGGCTGACCCACGGCCCACCCCCCATTCTCCACTCCTTCCCCGCTGCCCCATTAATCCTCACCTCGAACAATAAGTAAATTCTTCAGTGTCTCAGGATAATTTGCTTCCATGATGGCGAAAAACTGTGAAGGCAAGAAGAGTCGGGTTGAGGCCACACTCCAACATTCCTGCCTGGATGGGTGGCCTCTGAGGCTGCGGAGGCAAGAGCCCCCCTCCCCCTGTCCCCTGGCCCACCCCGCCTTCCCATGAGCACCCACCCCGTCCTCTGTGAGAATCCTGCTCCTCTTTCTCCTTGCAGGAGGTACCTCAGGTCGGCGTCACTGACTGCTCGGTGGGACCCCTGGGGGCGGGGGTGCCCCTCCTCCATGGACTGAAGCTGCTGTGGGCAGTGGCTCCCTATTGGCCTCGAGCCAGCTGCTTACCTTACCTGCTGGTAGACCTCCACAGCTGGCTTCCACAGGTGTTGCAGGCCCAGCCCCTCCATGTCAAACACCATCAGCACCGTCTCGATCTTCCTGCCCAGCTGCGTGGGACGGAGCAGGTACATAGGTCGGACGGGAGATGCAGGCCACAGAGACCTGGGCGTGGCTCCGACCTTCCTGCCACCCCCACCCCTGGCTGCCCGCAGTGTTTGCCAAGCAGATGCACCTGCCTCGGCTCTGAGAAGATGCCGCATGTAAGCCCTGCAATGAGTTCGCTGTGCAATTAACAATCTCCGTTCCTTATTCATTGGGCACCTTTAGATACAGTAGTAGATACCACGTTGACCAGCGTCTGCAGCGCTATGCTGTTGGCAGGCTGTGTGGCCTTGAGTTCATAGGTCGACCCTCAACCACTGAGCCACACCGGCTGGGCCCGGTGCCACCTTTTATTTATTTATCTATTTATTTTTTAAAAATATATTTTATTGATTTTTTACAGAGAGGAAAGGAGAGGGATAGAGAGTTAG